AGACTCATTGGTGTGTCAATCATGAATGAAAGGACATGTAAATTTATAATTTAACCAGGAATAAAATGACTAGAGCAATGCTCTTTTATTAATTTTACTGGTAATAAAATTATACTACACAATTTGCTTCTGAGCTTCCTAAGTGCTGAGATTGTCTGGCTAGAAGGGAGTGATAGCCTCTCTTCTCTCATCCTGCCTGCTTCTTTCTCCTCTACTTACAATAATTAAATAACTAAACGAATGAAAATCAAAACAAAACTACTTTCTAATTCTCCAGGCAATGCTTCATAAACTTTTCCCACCAAAGTACCCCTAATGGAAGAGAAGATTGAACACGCACCCTCAGGGATCTGCATCAAGTGTGAAAATTCTTTGAAGTCATCTGTTTCATTTTAAAAATTCATGTGGCTTTTGCATTCTACTCCATAATATATATCTGTTTTAATGTAAAAATGATGTGCTTTCCCCCAATATCTTTGAATTACAGAGCTCTAGGAAAATATGCTAAGTTAAAATGATAGCTTTGCATCTTCGAAGAAGCACACAATTTTAGCAGCTCAGCTTTATGAAGAGTAAAGACAATTATAAAACAATTTTTCCATAGATCCCCACATATTTCTTTTGTTTCTACTTCAAGGTGATTTTTTTCCTTTGTTGATAATTTCAAGGCCTATAATTTTAGTACTGAAATAAAAATTATTGGTATAGTGAGCATAAAATATCTTTACTTTATAGAAAATAAGTATTCAGACATAAAAATCAAAACATAGAAGCTTCATTAAAGATTTTATTTTAATCATTCCAAATTATTTTGACTGAAAATATGCATTTATCACATCTATTCATGTGAGATAATAGGAAACAGGAAGATAGACCTTTTGCAATTGCAATCTTTTGCAATTTGTATTTTCATAATCAAAGATCTTAGAAAATGGTATTAGTAATCATGCAATCATTATTTCAATATGCATTATATAATATAGTCATTAGTTAAATTTGTCATCTATTTCCCTTTAAAGAAAAGGTACTATTTTCTTCGTAAAGACACATTTCACAAGGAATCCATTATCAAATAAAATGAATTATATAGTGTTGATCCATTTTTACTTTCACTGGTAGAATGCAAATCTTATACAAACAGTACGTAGTACACAGCACTGCAGGTGACAGAGTGGGCCTCAAGCAGGGCTGAAATGTATATTAAGCAAATAAGGCCAGTATGCCTTGAATACCAAGAAAAAGCATTCAACTATCAATAAGGAGAAAACTGCATGACCTTTCACTGTTTTGTTTCTTCCCACATACTAAATTTGATAGTATTTTTTTGAAGGTTTTGGTCACAAAACATTAAAAAAGAAAGAAATGGATTCTGAACAGTGATATGACAAACGATAGTTGGCTTAGAGGACAGGCAGGTGAGATTTACCAGAATGGGACACAACATACAACTGTATACTGATGCAAGGTTATTATAAAGGGATAAAAAAAAGGCTCAAGAGAATGTGTTGGGGTGCACAGAAATGAAAACTGGAGGGATGCAAGCAGGCGGAATGTGCCTAAGAACTCCTTCAGTTGATAATTCTGAGTCTGAACTTCGAAGGGAAAGAAAAAGAACTAGTTAAAATAACTTGAGAATGGGCACTGCCACAAAGCAAACAGTGGGATAGGAAGAGGATATTTTACAACAGTCTTATGAATGTACTGACAGGAAGAACATATAAAAGCAGAAACAATCCAAATACAATCGAGAGATCTAACTTGACATAGGGAGAAAGAAGTTAGCAATATTGTAAAAGAAAAATATGAAAGGACTTATCAAAAGCACAGGCATAGGAAACAAATAACTAGAAGCAAACCTAATACATCCTATAAATCATCCTTTTTTCCCTTTTAACAAGGCAATAAAAATAATTGTAATATTCTGGGCGGTGTATCAATTACTGCTACTACTACCACTAAAGATAGTGGTCCGGCAATAGCTGCACGGTTACTATGTACAGAGCGTTTTATTAGGTGCTTTGTACATGTCCACTTATTTACTTTTATCGTTACTGTAATTGAGGAGACAAAATCTTGGAAGTTTAAATTACCAGCTAACTAAAAAGTTTGAGCTCTAGTGTACTTTTGTCAACATCAATAATGGATAAAAGTATATGATATGATCAATGTCTCTGAAACTATTTAAAACATATATAAATATTATGTACACAAATGCAGTTATACATTGCTTAACAACAGGGCTACGCTCTGAAAGATGAGACATTAGGCAACTTTGTCTTTGTGCAAACATTATAGAGTGTACTTACAAATACTAAGACGGCTACAATAGCATCAGCTGATATATCTTATGTGGCCACCACCCTATATGCAGGGTAGCTGGCCACTGACCAAAAAGTTATGTGGCCCATGACTATAGTTATAGAAATAGTTAAATATTTATACCATAGATAAACGGATAGATACACATACATCTATTTCCATGGTTTGAATGTTTCCCAAAAAGCATGGAAGTAGGACTTGCTGGGAAGTGTTTATGTGATTAGGGCTCGAGCCTCATGAATAGATGAATGCTGATTGTAAAAGACCACAAGGCTGCAAGCATGATCTCTTGTTCTCTGTCGCTATGTGACACCTTCCACCATATTATTGTATAGCAAGAAGGCTCTCACTAGATGTGGACCCTTGATCTTAGATTTCCCAGCCTACAAAACAATAAGAAATAAATCTATGTTCTTTATCAATTACTCAGTATATGGTATTCTGTTATAGCAGCATGAGACAAAATTAAGCCATATATAGAGAGACATAAAGGCAAAGCTGATAAAAGCTTCCTCACTGGTTTCATTTTAGTCACTTCAAATCATTGTGACTAAAACCATGTATGTATCACATACACTCATGTAAGATAAAAGGGAACGGGGAGAGAGATCTTTTGCAAATAGGAAGGGGTTGAAGAGACGGAGGGAGGTGAGAGGGAAGGAGGAGAAAGGAGACATAAAAAGTATTAATATGTATTATTCACATGGACCAACTCCCCACAGTGAATGTAATCATGTGTTACAAGCACGTACAAATACAGATTTCGGAAAAGAATCCTTACTATAAGGAATGTAAACATTATGTACTACAAACATATACAAAAAAAGGAAGGGGATCTAGAGATAGATGGAGGGAGAGGGAGGGCAGTGAAAGGGGATCAAAAAAGGAATTAAGGAAAAAAGAATTAAAATCATTCAAAATCATCACAAACTTGACAGTATACTTTACTTGAATGCATTCTTGATATACGTCCAAAATCTTTTCAAAATAGATTAGCATATTAAAAAATAAAATTTAGAAAAAATTTGATAAAAAACAATACAATAGTAAGAATACCCCAAATGGTCTAAATTTAGAACTGCTTTGATCTGCAGCTTTTAATATATTTCCAAGTATAGAATGTTCTAAATGCTTCTCTTATTCTACTGTGGTTATAAGTGTGCCTCTAGTCACAAAGGCATATTGTTAAATCCAAAGACTAAGTTACAGAAGTTCTTTAGAAACCAACTGCCAGACCGCTGCTATTATGGTTATAGTCAGTATAATTTCTGATCATATTATAATGCTTGCTTAAATATACACAATACTATTGAGTCGTGGTGTGTCTTCTGATATTCTGTTCCTTGGGACACAAAATGAGACACATTGGATAAAATGATAGAAATATGTTGAGGATCTGGTTGACAATCCCAAGTCAGCAGAGATGACATCACACAATGCTACACTGTAATCTGGGTTTTATGGACTCATTTTGTTCCTTTAAAGGATACTAACAGGTTTATATCATTTATAACAAACGGGAAATACGTGCTTTGGAGTCCTTACAGAAAATCTTCAGAGTTGTAGGATGAATTACTATGGCAAAATTACAAATAGGATTGATCCCTACTTTTCTCGTCTAAAAGGGAGAATATACTTCTCCACATGTATGATGTCAACTTCAGAAAATGTTTCCTTTAGCCGGGTGTGGGGGTGCACCCCTGTAATCCCAGCACTCAGGAGGCTGAGGCAGGAGGATCATTGCAAGTTCAAGACCAGCCTGGGCTACAAAGTGAGCTCAAGGCCAGCCTGAACTGCACAGCGAGACCCTGTCTCAAAAAGAAAAAAGACAAAAAAAAAAAAAAAAGTTTCCTTGATCCATCATCCTTTCATCCTTTCATTTGTTAACTACTTGTAAAAGTAAACAATACTAACAAAGCCAATTGTCTCAAATTAAAATCTCAGAAATGTTTTTACTTCCCCTCTCCTGTTTCTCCTTAGTGCTAACTCTTGCCCATTCTATCCCCTCAATGAGGCTTTTCTGCCTGCCATATGGAGATCAGACTGAGCAGGCTGCCATTGAAGTCTGTGACAGGCCTGCCTTAGTCTTCCTACCTGACTGTCAGCTACTGCTCTCACTTGTCCTAAGACATTCTACTGTGCCGTGCTCACGCTGTTCTGTCTCTGGAAAGCAAGGCAGACCCTTCACCATGCCTATAAAACTCTATCTTCATATCATGAAGATCTCTACCCATTTAAAAACATTTTTCTTCCTCATCAAAACTATAGAACATTACATTTGCACGTAAATATCTGACATTCATCCTCCTAATATGGGGTATTTATGAGTGTGTGTACGCACATGCATGCGTATATGTCATTAGTTACATTTATGATTTTAAACACATTCACGGAATGACTATCATGCAGTCATTTTCATATCACCAGTTATCTGGTTAGCAGTCTGAAGGCATTAATAATCTAGTATGCTACTATTAAAAGCCAAGACAAAGAAAATCACAGCTTACTGAAAGGTAGAATGCTGTCAAACATGAGGTAATAAATTATATTCCAGCTTTTCTTATACCAGTAAACATATCAAACCTACTTCTGTGATTATTATTTACAGATTTTTAAATCTTACCATTTAAAATGAAACACACAGACCAGGAGCAGCCACAAAGCAGTTAAAAGTCAATTACCTTTGCTTGCACTTTCTACATGTTCTAGTTCTTCAGGAAATTTCAGGATATCGCGGTATTTTTCCTCACAAATTTCAGCAATAAAATGCAAAAGCGTTGTCTTTTGATCTGCTGATTTAGTATCTTTGATCTGAAAGGGAACAACATAAAATGTTTTAGTAATTTAAATAGAGTTTTTTCTTAAACAAATGGAACAAATGAATGAGTGAATTCAATTCATTAAAATGCACTTAAATTTTTTTCTTAATGGGGTCTAGTAGCAAAGCTCCCGATTGTGAAATGAGCATATTTTAAAAGCAAGAATTATGGCCAATAATAGTATCAAATTAAACCTTAATCTATATTTTCAAAAATGGCTTAATCATTATGGCAAAATGAAGTATTCTTTTGATGAGAGAAGAGCATTCACTAAGTATTTATAGTAATAGTCTAAGTTAATGGCATTTATGCGAGCAGCATTCTGTTCTTCGCTGTATTATAAAAACATATTATTGAAAGCTGGATTCATTTGTGAAATTATTACTAGCCATCACTGATGTAAATTAATGTAAAAGACTAAGCACATCTACCTTCCACTTGTATGAGCCACCAGAAAGTAATTCTCAAGGTGGTTCTTATCCAGAAATATAAAAGGAATCTGATCATATAGTTGTGATAATATAAAATTTTTATTTGTCTGCTTATATATTGTATTTCTGTTTTAGATACACTAGAGAAAAGATGCCACAGTTACAATAATAAAAATCTTAAGAGTAGAGCCAAAAATATGTACAATGAGAATCTAATGCTTCCTTTATTATAACTCTTAGACTGAACTGCAAATGAAATCAAGGATTTACTTGGAAGCAAAGCATAAATAGAGCACAAAGTATCAAGTTTTCTCATTCTGTTGGATATTTTAATTCTATAATCCTTAGATGATGGGTTTGTCCACTGATGTTCATACTGATTTGGGGTTTCTAGCTTTAAGGATTACTCTGTTTAGAATAAATGAATATTCTTCAAAAACGGGTTTACGGAAAGGCTGCAGAAGGATATTTAGGTAATTACAGAGTAAATTAATCCTTATTGTTTAAGGAACTAAGAAAGAAAAAATTCAGAGCATTTAATAATCAGGATCATACTGGATGTGTTTTGGACTATAGCTTTTAGCAAGTGTTCAATTTCAGATTATATAAATAACTTAAAAGAAACATTAGACATAAGGCTAAAATAAACAAACGGTCATAGAATGGATAAGGTTAAGTGCGTACACTTTAACTGTCATAATTATTTCTTTTAGACTTTCTAGAATTACCTTATCCATATTGGTAAAATATTTTAAAATTTGCATTCTTATATGATCTCTTAAATGCTTTTCAGTACAACAAAGTACTATGACACTGTTCAAGGACAAGCTAGAAGTAAACAACATGAACCTCAAGGGCAATTTGTCGTCAGTAAGATAGCAGCTGTAGATGAATCAATGGGAGGCTCTCATTCCTAAAGAGAGGTCTTTAGCAGGGATTACTGCGTAATATGTTCAGAAAGTATATCATTTTCAGAGTATGTGGAAGATTTCAAATACTAAGAAATTTAACATTTTGTCTTATAAATTAACTACCCTACTAATCCTAAAATCCTACAAATGTTAGATGCTTAGGAAAATTGCACGTACATCTTCCAAAAGAAAGAAAATCAGGGAGACTAAAACAAAAATAAAAATAATACAATATGAAACACTAATCAAACCTGCCTAGTTCTTTGTACAACAAATTGTATAGGTACATGATAGTTTTGAAAGTGCATATGAATAACACTGCACAGGAAACATGGAAATAGAAAAAAATGGCTTTAATCTCATATGTCAATTTTGTGGGTGCTGTTCTTTTCTTATTTTCATGGTGGGTGTTATATTATTTTACACTACAAACTTCAGTTTTGGGTAGCAATTCTTAAAGTGTTTCATTCTCAGAAATTTAATTAATAATATATATTCAGTATCATTGTCATTAACAATTTAATTTCCATAATGAGTTTTAGTAGAATAAATGGTTACATTTTAAAAATAAAAAATCAGAAAATCAGTAAAGTAAAAATCTGACTATGTTTGATGAAAGCACAAAGGCTTACTGACAGAGTGTGCACATACTTTTTTAGAATTATAATATTCCCTTCAAAGGACAAACGTGCTCAAACACATGCCTTGCCAAGCTGAGAAATATCTTACTTTGGTCTGTGAAACAGAATATTCAACTGACAGTGCAATACTATTCATTTAAGTATTTTTAACAAAAAAACCTTAATACTCCAGAGTTCATTTTAATGTTTCAAATTGGCAGCAAATCATGAGAAATAGGTGATATTTTCAATCTTTCTCTATGTGTGTGAACATTAGATCAATATTAAAAAAATAAATACATGGTAGAAGGGAAAATTTCCATAGTGAAGTGCACTTATTTTGTATTATCGTGTGTCCTGTGTGTCTTAGCTGGCCTCTCTCACTGGCCTAACTGTGTGCTTTCCACTATTAGCACAGAGGGCAACTTAAAACATTTACATTCATCAGTTCTCCTAGTTAATGGCATCTGTCCAATAAATTGCTCTTGTACTGCGTCTCTCTCCTCTCTCTCTCTCTGTCTCTCTCTCTGTCTCTCTGTCTCTCTGTCTCTCTCTCTCTCTCTCTCTCTCTCTCTATATATATATATATATATATATATATTTGGCTATAAACATTAGCAAAAATATATTTGGATGGATGGATGGATAGAACAAAAGCAATCTAATATAAGTATGTACAGAATCACTACCAAAGTGTTTGGGTTAGTTTATTAAGTAATAAAATAGATTCCCATTTGATACCTGGTTAACTTGAAACTATGTTAAAAACTTGATATTATATCAAATATCCAAACAATACTCGCCTGCATTGCCTATGTCTCATGGATGACTACAATGCCACCGTGTCAAGGTTTGCTCTCTGCAAAGTGCCTTTTGGTATCCCTGCTTGTTTTTTCCTCTCTTCTTACCAGCCACAGATAGGTGGGGCATGAAACAGATACATGAATTCTTTATGAAAGATGCGGAACGATGAAAAAATGGCCACTCTACAATCCCATCTTATAAATACTTCCAAACAGTGAAAAACACAACCAGCAGTTTCAGAAATTAGTAATACTTGCAAAAGGTAAAAACAATGTATGTTATTTTAATAAACTGACTTATCAATGAATGACAGTAACTGTCACAGTAAACTGACAACGCCATCAGTGAACAAGCTACGTAGCAGTTTTAATTGTAATCACCTGACCAATAAATGTCACCCATAGAGATTAATCATGGAATTTCATTTATTTTACCTAATCTTTAATAACTTCTGAAGTGCTATATATGCATATACTTTTCATAAAACAATGCCTATTTCTATAGATAGACCTGATCATTTTGAAATAAATATGAATATAATGAAAAGTAATATTTGTGTTTTACATGTTTAAATGCAATACAACTTTAGTGGGATAGAAAAGCATTTGAATAATTAACTGACACTAAAGACATGTAGTTATTCCAAATATCCTCATTCAAGCCTGAAATTCATCAGTTTTGCCATGTCTCTGAAATTGGGAAGAAATCGGCATAGCCAGAGAGAGCCTGAGACAATATTTTAAGGATCTATGTCAGTCACACTCAATCTTTCTGTGAAAGACCCTTTCTGTAGGTAATTTTCCCTTTTGCTACAATTTAAGCCTATTTTTTCTGCCTTTGTTCTCAGTGAGAACTGAAACTAACTACTCACTATCCTCTGTACAACCTCTCAGAGTCAGTTTGTCTTTTGTCTTATTATCTAACCTAAACAACCACAGTTAATTTAATCTCTCCACAGGGATATTATTCTTCAAATGTTTAAATTTTTCTGGCTAAATAGGATCTATTAAAAATTTCTACTGCAAAGTTTCCTGTCATCTATCATAGAAGCATACATATTTCTTGGTTTTCCACACAAGGCCCCTCATGAGCTGGCCTTTTTCTTTCTAATCTGCCTGCTTCGACTGTTGGTCTGATTACAATTTCATAAACATATACTATGCAGTTTTATACCACTGTACCTTTGCATAACTTTTCTGTCTAAGTGCTGCCCTGCCAGTTTCCTTTTTATCTCTAAGCTAAAAACCCATTTGTATTGCAAGGACAAGCAGAAACACCGAAATGACACCCAGGATTTGGAGGCAGATTTATTTTATGTCGACGGGCACTGATCTAAACCATTCCCAAAATATCAAGCCCCAAAAGCCGAGAGAGGGAGGTTTTTATGCTGTTGAAAGGGGAAGTATAGAGGCAGAGTACTCGGATGTCTTTGATTGGTTCTTACCATTTGCATCTCAGTGACCAGCCCTTTACATAAGAGACAGAAGTAACAGGAAATCGTAACAGGAACCGTTATCTGGGCAGCTAACGGACTGGCTGGGGATGGTGGCGCATTTTCTGCTACAGTATTTCATAGTTAATATACAACCCCCATCTCATTTCTGAAAACTTTTCTACCTCATGAGCAATTTAAGACTATGAGGACTATGCTAAACTACTTAACACAGAAGTTTCTTATAGTCTCTATCAGCTCTTTCCAAGGTAAAGACTGTTTCAATAATATAATATTTATTTTATCCACAGTACTTAGGAGAATGCTGGAATCTACTAAGTAGTCAATAAATGTGTCTGAATGAACATTGTTCTCTACATAAAACTCCTACTTGTGTGGATTATATAGCAATGCTTATAAATTTAACTCTTGTCTCAGTTAATGTTCTCATTGCTGAGAAAAAATACCTGACAACTAAGGCTGAAAGAGGAAAGTTTTACTGTAGCTTACAGATTGTACAGGTTTCAAGTCTATAGTTGGCTGAGTCCAAAACAGGGTGGTATGGCAGAGGGGAATCACAGAAGAGAAATAGTTCATGGCAGGGAGAAGGCAGAAAATCAGAGAAGTAGCAAAGAAGCAAACAGCAAGGGAGGACAGCAGCACTGTTTTTGTCCCTTCTAGTTTATTCAGGCTATGGTGTTCACTTGGGCTGCACCCATACTGAAATATTCAGGCTATGTGCCCTTAGGGTGCACAGTACTCATCCCCACGGTGGGGCACCCTTCACTCTAGCA